TGTTGCGTTATATTATTTTTTTTTCTATTACAACATTTTTACTTTCAAATATTCTTTTATCAAGATATTTTTATATGTCTTACATTTTTTACTTATCTAGGCATTTTTCACAAAAATCTTTGCATTTATTATTACAAGATTTTACTATCAAATATTCTTTTATCAAGAATTGTTTTACAAAAATGTTCACATTTTTAACTTCATAAGGCATTTTACTTTGAAAACTTTACCAAGTAAAGCATTGTACATTCAAATTTGTAATTAAAAGCACATTTCGTTTGAAAACTCATCCCAATTAAAGCATTGGATTTTATTTATTTATTTTATTTGTGTGTTTTTTATTATGACATCATTTTTACTTGCAAATATTCTTTTTCAAGACATTTTTTACAAAATTCTTTATATTTTCTACTTTTCTAGGCATCTTATTTTGAAAAATTACCAATTATAGCACTGTATTTTCAATTCGAAAAAATATCCCAATTAAAGCTTTGCATTTTTTTAGTTTTTTTTTTTTTTTTTTTTTTCCTATTACAACATTTTTACTTTCAACATATTCTTTTATGAAGATATTTTTTATATAAATCTTTACATTCTTTTACTTATCTAGGCATTTTTTACAAAAATCTATCCAATTTTTTACTTTGAAAAAATAATAATTCTTTTCTCGTCAAGACATGTTATTTTGAAAAATTCATTGAAAACTTTTTGTATCTAGAGATTTTATTTTGCAGAATCTATTTTTTTTCTTTCAAACCATTTTACTTTCAGTTTTCTTTATATAAGCACATTTATCTTTCAAAAGTCCACCCATTTATATCTTTGCATTTTGAAGTATTATTTTTGTTCAACATTATTACTTTCATATTTTATATTATCAAGTCTAAAACGTCTATGGATTTTTTTCTTATCAAGGCATTTTACTTTAGAAAATTTATCCTGGTTTTTTGCTCATCAAAACACTTTATTTTAGTTGAACAATCCATCATTACAACCTTTTACTTTGAAAAATCTACCAATCATAAGTCTAAAAAGTCTTATCAAATCTTTTTACTTGAAAAGTGTTATCAACTTCTCATATTTTATTTTATCAACTCTAAAAAGTCTTATTAAATCTTTTTACTTGAAAATTTTATCATTTTTTATAAAGGCGTTTTACTTTGAAAAATCAACCCAATTGTTTTCTTTTAGTTACAACATTACAACTTTTTTTTTTTCTTTTTAATCTTATCAAGTCATTTTACTTTAATCTAACTAATTTTTTTTTAATTATCAAGACATTTTACTTCGAAAAATCTTACAATTATAGCATTGTTTTTACAGTTTTTTCTTATAAGAACATTTCCTCTTGTTGAATAAATATGGGACCCGTATGACCTCACAACCATTTAGCTCTAATATCCGGTAGAACTTTTTCTATCAACCATGACTTTGTTATCTCTTTGTTCACCGATAGAATAGACTTTGTCTCCAATGTTCTCGCAACACGGTTTTTGCTTGAACGTTTAGCGGATTCCAATGTTGTAAATGGATAGATACCTATTTTTCCCGATAAAACTTCGTTGCCCGATGAATCAAATCTTGGTCTTGCTACCGCCGCTAGAAACATAACCTTTGTGATAAATTTTTTGCTTTTGCATGCTCTTAAGGGTTCATCCTCATCGGGGACTAGATCGTAACGTTTTGATGGTTTTTACATGTAAAAAAAAAACACTAGTTGCGGGTCCGGGTCGGATCATATTAACATGATAGAAAATGTAAAAACAAAAAAAGTGTTACATTTGTATTTCTGCTCTTTGAATTTTAACCTCTCTAATACACATGGTAAATTTTCACATTTGGTTGTTATGTAAGATCAATAACTAGTAAACTTAAACATACTCTTATATGTTTATGTTATATGTTTATGTAGATCATTATCTTCTGACAATTTTTAATAAAAAAAAATGGCTTATATAAATAAGTTTCAATAAAAAAATTGTAATATTTGAATTTCGAAAGTAAAGTTGGAACTCATCCTCCTTCTAATCGGGTCTAGTGTGGTAAAAAGTTGATCCTCGACAGCAAGTCCCGATCAAGTTGTTGAAAATACTACTTTTCTCCCCGAGTTGGTGCATTCAACAAGGGAAAGAGTAGGTACAAGTTCTTGTATTGTTCTTGCACGAGCTCTTCACTCGCGCACATAATCGAGTTCAATTCCGAGCTTGTTAATTTTTTTTAATACATGTGCTATGTTGAGTTTTTTGGGGCTGTTCATTTCATGTTTTACTCTCGCTAAGTTGACCTACAAAATTTACAATATGTAAAGGTAGTTCTCAATCAACTTTAAAAGTAAAAGATAAAGTATTCAATTTTGAGATGAGCTTCTTTTGTCGAGGCTCTTTTGGTCAACAAATCAACAATAATTTCATTCTTATCAAATTTTACTTTGTGGCAAGTTCATCTTTTATGTACTTGAGATCATCTTTATAATTTTGTTGGGGTTATTTGATGAGAAACAAAAGTTAAATTGTAATTTAAATCAACAAAGAAGAAAGTCTTAATGAGTGAAATTTAAAACACACACACGCACACGCACATGCACACTCACTTTTAGGTGTTTTTTTCATCTATTATTTGATTATGTTTTAAATGTGGATATGTGTGTTTCATTTAGTAAAATTTGATAGGAGGGAACTTATATTTGATTTGTTGACCAAAAGGGCCTCGACAAAAGAAATTTTGTAGATCAACTTAGCGAGACTAGAACATGAAATGAACAACACCAAAAATGTCAACAAAGCACATGTATTAAAAAATATTAACGAGCTCGGAATTGAACTCGAGTCTGTGCGTGAGCGAAGAGCTCGAGCAAGAACAATGCAGGAACGTGTACCTACTATTTCCCTGGTTGGATACACCAACTCGGGGAGAAAAGTAGTATTTTCATCAACTTGACCAGCTCGAGCATTGCAGTCGAGGATCAAACTTTTTATTACCGTACTAGACCCGGTTCAAAGTTTCAACTTTCAAAACTTTCTTACCAATGTCTTTTATTTTAATAAAGAGTTCAAATATTTTCTTATCAAGGAAACTTTGAATGTATTCTATTCATTACATTTTATTATGACAAGTTTTGAAATGTATTCTATTCATTGCATTTTATTATGTTAAATATTTATTTCTATTTACTATTTTTTAATTGATTTCATTTTGTTTGGTGTTCTTGTAAAAAAATGCAAAAAGCTATCTGTCCAAAACCTACACCACAGGTTTGTCACTTTATTTAATTTATTGGTTAAATTATTGACACTATCAGTTTCTTTTATTTTGTAAATTGGTTACTTGTTTTGATTGATGTATCTACCTTTTTTATATAATTATATGATATGATATGATATGATTTTAACTGTTGTTTCATGTTTATGAAATATATATTTAGTTTAGATCTTCAATATGTTTTATAAGTAAATCATCTGATTATTAAGTTTTATGTTTGATAAACTCTCTATGTCAAGCACATTAAGTTATGGTTTTCTTTGTTTTGAAGTTTACTGTTTGCTTATTTGATCTCAGTTTGACAATTATTTTGGTTACAAGTTTTCTTGGTCATGTACTTAAGGAAACCTCAAAGCATGACCTAATATTGGTCAACCCGTGCCAAAACCCGACCACCTTTTCCCATACCCATATTATAACCCTTTTGGTCCTAACCCATGCCTAACACCCGTACATGACCTAATATTGGTCAACTCGTGCCAACACCCGACCACCTGCAACCGATACCCATGTTATAACCCTTTTGGTCCTAACCCTTGCCCAACACCCGTACATGACCTAGTATTGGTCAACCCGTGCTAACACCCGACCACTTGCAACCCATACCTATATTATAACCCCTTTTGGTCGTAACCCATACCCAACACCCGTACATGACCTAATATTGGTCAACCCGTGCTAACACCCGACCACCTGCAACCCATACCCATATTATATCCCTTTTGGTCCTAACCTTTGCCCAACACCCGTACATGACCTAAAATTGGTCAACCCGTGCCAACACCCGATCAACTGCAACTCATACCCATATTATAACCCTTTTTGGTCCAAACCCATGCCCAACACCCATACATGACCTAATATTGGTCAACCCTAAACCCTACGTTGGCTTCTTGTCCGGCACAACATTTTTTATCCGGAGCCGAAGCATTTTCGCATGCATGTTTTTAAACTAAACACCCTAAACCATAAACCCTAAAGCCTAAACCTTAAACCCTAAAGCCTAACCCTAAACCCTAAACCCTAAACCCTAATCCTAAACCCTAAACCTTAAACCTAAACTCTAAACCCTAAACCCTAACCCAAAATCCTAAACCCTAATCTTAAACCCTAAACCCTAACCCTAAACCGTAATCCTAAACCCTATATAATAAAACACTAATTAAGTGACATGGCATTACCTTATACATTTGAGAGCTAATTTTAAGGAAATTGATGCCATGTGGAATATATATATTTTTTTTAAATAAAAAAATATAATGTAATAATTAAATAAAACATATTAAATACGTATTAATTAATAGTTAATAATGTTGTTAATGTTGTTAATGTTAATGCTTTAAGTTATGGCAGTTACAAATGTTCATGAATTGGGCTTCCGGTAGTATATTGGGCCCATAATGTTCTTGCCCATTATTCGGTTAAACTAATTTCTTAGGGGTAAGGTCGGTACCGAATCGGTACCGAACCGAAATTCTCGAAAACAGAAATAAATGAAATGATGGTAACAAATACGGTACCAAATCTCATTAGTACCGATTTTTTATTCCTTCTTTACATTTTAGTTTCTTTTTTTTTTTTTTTTTTTTTTTTTTTTTGAGTATCTTCAACAAAATCATCATCACCATCTTAAAGTAGACACCATAATACAACATTAAAATACTGTTGGAAACAACACTCTCACCGTTGTTATGTTGCAGCACACATGGTTGTAAGTATGGTAAAAAGATGTAATTGGTGTAATGGAAATGTAAACCTAGTTAATTTGGACTTGTTTGGACAACATGGGAATGGAATAAGTGATTCCATCAAGTTGAAAGAGTAGGTCATATCAAATTTCCCTCATTTTGATCTAGCAGAGCAAATCACGTCTCCACCTCCATCTCTCCAGCTCCACATCGCCACCTCCATCTACCGTCGACGCCACTGCTCTCGCCGACGTCTCCAACAGGTCTGCTTTCTCTATTCTTTGTTCGTTATTGTTTTTTTTCCTGATTTGGCAACTTCGAGTTTATGCTTTTGGGTTCATGCTACTCTGATTTGATAGTTAGATTTCATGCTAGTTTTTATTTATTTATTTATTTATTTAAATTTCTGAAATCAGGTTGTGTCATGTGTGTATGAAATCTGTTAGAGATTTGATGCTTGTTTGAATGGAAATATGATGGGTATTAGAAATCTTATGCTCTTGTTTGAATGGAAATTTTATGTCTATTGGAAACTTCATGCTTGTTTAAATTGAAATATGTTAGAGATTTTTGACCTAAAAGAAAGAGAAAGAGACCCAGATAGCTCATTATGGTTAGGCATTATACAGGTAGAACACTGGGTATTTAATAACCGAGAAATAATGACTTTTCCTGAGTTCATTTGATTAAGGAAGATGTATAAGTTTGAAAGGACATTATGAATATGCACATGTTTTGATCACAAGTGGTGAAGGTATAATTGACTTCTTTCAGTAATAACTCTTACTGTTTTTGGTTCTCTATAAATATGAATATGCACATCCGCCTTCATGTGGTTTTGCAGTCCTTAGATTATGTGAACTAGGTTTCAAGAGATTTTTGGATGGATTTCCATAGTGAACTAGAGCATAGTGAAAGACAGTCATGATGCTTGGGATAAGCATTTTTGACATTTTTGTGTCAAAGAGTGAACTTTTGATCTCATGCATGTGTACAAGCTCAACAGTAGGTGGCAATGATGACACCTGCCTGTGAGTTGCATCAGTGGAGACTAGAAAACTTTCAAAGAATTAGAGGTCACAGTTGAAGCATACATAAATGAGAACAATGGTTAATATTGTAAACCAGCCCTCAATGAATATCAGATCATCTTTACCTCATCCTTCAAAGTTTTTATCACTTGGTTTCATTTCTTTTAGACGTTTCATCGATCACTTTAACACTTCACGCAGTTTTGTCCTAAAGATTTTGGCATTTGGCATGTTGACTTCATTTCTTTCAGACGTTGGAGTGAAATATTGGCATTGTGAATTAATCGTTAGAGATTTCTTGGTTCGGTTATTGGTCGGTAAAACAAAACCGCCTAACCTGCCCGATGCTCACCCTAGGAATAGGACCGATAATGACCAATTCAAATAAAAATAACACCAGTTTTGTGGCTTATGCAGATAATAACCCGGGTAGAGCTTACTATTCATCTCGTGGGTGTACCTTTTTTCGATGGGCGGATTTGCTCTTAGTGTGTCCTGGGTGTAAAAAAGGCTACTGTTATGCATGGGAGCAAGAAGACGGTGTATTATATAAGTATGTTAAAATGTTAATTCACTTATCTTTGTTTAGGCCACCTAAATACATTTGTGATTGTGAAGGACTGCGGCTTTAAGAAGCTCGTGCCCAAAGTCCAAGTTCTCAAGGACCTTCCACACCCTATTCTGGATCTGCCGGAAGTCATGGAAAAGGTTCACATGAAGGTGACTGCTCAAACTGCAAGTATTTGTCTATGCAGGTAGTGTTATTGAAGAAGAAGGTGGAAATGCTATATAAGATTATAAACCATTGGCATTCATGAAAATACACAAAAATTGTCCCAGGTTCTGCAAGTTACAGAACCAACATCTGTGCACATTCCCATAGCAACAAACAACTTCCAAAACCAATCATTAACCTTCTAATAAGAGCATTTAGAACCCCAACTATATTGCTGTAGCTGGAGACCACATACCAGAACATCTTGATCAAGTACAGATAGTAGCTGCCATAGTTAGGCAGCATCAGGCTTTGAATCCACAAGTAATCTGTCTTCATCATACCATAACCAGAAATAGCATTCGACTTTCCAATTTCTAATTCTTTTTTTATTTCCCCCAGTCTTCAAACTATCCCCAAACATACTCCAATTAATCATTTGAACACATTTTGTGAAAAGATCAATGCTAAAAAACCAACAGATCATCATATAGCCAAAGTACAATGCTGAAATGCGAAATGTTGTAACAATATCCAAACACAATAAAAAAAAAAAAAAAACATAATCCTTATATATTTTTCTCCAATAACTCAGCAATCATAGTGATCCGTTCATCATTACTATACTTCAAAAAAATGAGGACCAGCAACTCATCGCTGAAGATATGAACCCTAAATTTCTGCAAAGGTTCTGCCTTGAAATGCCCATCGGCTACGATGTCAGAAAGAACATGATGCACTTGTTCCTTCAAAACTGGATATGTCATATGCACACTGGGATCACAATCTGTTCAGAAAGCAACCAACAGTTATATCATAAAAACCTTTCCCATTCAAATTGAAAACTAAATTGAAAGTCAAATTGGAAACTAAACTGAAATTCCAAAACCACGAGTTGCCAGTCAAAAACATAATGGCATATTAAGCCCTGAAAGCAAAAATCTTACTCATATTTAGTATTCATGAAATCAAACGTTAGGGAATAATCACTATAAAAGCGATAGACAATAACAGAAAGCATAAAACAATGTTAAAATTGAAAGCAAAACAGCTGAGGTGAATATGATCACATTAGAGCGACATCATGTTGCTACTTTTTACAATCTTTACACTTACCCTTTAAATCCAGCAGGCAATAAGCATAAAATAACAACTATAAGATCTTTCCCCACCAATTATATACAAATTATAACTAAGTTATTATTAATTGGTGTTTGTGACAGATGTATCTCTATTAAAAACGTGGCATGTCATGTAAGACGATCTTCTTTATCTGTTCCATGAAAACATATGTTTCTCATTTAAAATTTTATTGGAATATATGATCACATTAGAGCGACATAAAGGGTGGAATTTCCGTGACCTCTAGTTTGTCTTCTCTAGCGATGTGCCCGCTTGGAAGCAAATCTCATTTGTTAGTTTCAGACATTGATTTATGTTTTCTGGAGATACAAAGTCTATCGCAACTTTTGTACATGACTGCATGAAAAAAAAAAGCAATAAATAAGAGGTTCATATATAGGGGATGTTGATATGTATCCCCACATGAACACATCTCTACACATAGACATGTCATGTAACCTTACGTGTGTGTGTGTGTGTGTGTTACAGACTTAAAGTACATTGCTATTTCTCCATTCTAAGTCAAAAATTTGGTATCAGAGCCATCTGGTTTAATGGCCTCTAGTACGAACAACAATTGTTCATCCCCAACTTTCCAAATTAAATGACAGAAATTACCATCAATGTAGCATACAAATGAGAGTTTTCTTAAAAAAGAAAGATAGAAAGGCTCTCTTGATAATCTACCAGGCTGTGGACGAAGTTATCTTTAAGAAGATCTCATCCTCTACAACATCAAAATGAAGGATTCAGAATCCGTGGAGGATTTCTACAATAGGGTCATCCTATTATTGAATCAGTTAAGGCTAAATGGTGAACCTGTTGAAGATCAAAGGGTTGTTGAGAAGATATCAGAAAAGAAGAACATGCTGAGAATAAAGGGAAAGGAAGAGGGAAATGTCAGGAAAAGGGACACACTATGATGTTCTGTACATGAAAAGGCTGCTGCCTCTTCTTTCATTCACGAAGAAGAAGATGATGAGAGTGAGATCATATTCATGGTTTTACGCACTCAAGAATGGTATGCAGATGATATCTGGTACATTGACAGTGGTTGTAATAACCATATGACTGGTCACAAAGAGTTATTTACAAATATGGACACTGATCTCAAGAAGGAAGTAAGGACTGGTGATGGCAAGATCCTGGGTGAGCAGGAAATAAGAGAAATAACAGTCAACACGAAGAAGGGAAGGAAAGGGTTAAAGGGTATTGTGTGAATTTCAAAAGTAATGTCTGTGAGATCAGAAAACCAAGTGTTAATATATTGGTGTGGACATCCAGCAGGAACAAAAACTGCATCTCCCAGACATTGTTTAAATGTCCATGGTTCCACATCTAAAAGGTTCATGACATCTCATGTTAAGGAAACTTATGACAAAAATCAGATTTCATAATGTTAGTCGTTCAGCTCAAATACAAGCGTCTGGATGAATACTTACCATATTCCTTTTTTAGCTTCCTTTTATGCTTCCCTGTTAAGTAAAATGTTTGATCATGAATAGGATTACAATCCTACACACAAACCGTTCAAGTATCAAAAGAATACTTAATATAAAATAACAGTTTTGGTCCCTATTTTAGAAAAATATAAATTCAAATGATTCTTTTACATTGTGTATTAGATTTGTAACATGTGTATAATATGCTTATTGTACTATAGAGGTAAAATGGTTCAAATATGCTCAAGTCAAGGTTAGTTAAGGTGTCGAAGTACAATAAGTTTGACCAAAGTAGCAAAAATGGTTATTTTGGTGAAAATAGAAAAGTACAATGCTATAATGAGAAAGTATCCAAAATGGTCATTTTGATGAAAATAGCAAAGTACAATGCTATACTGAGTAAAAGTGGACAAAACCAGAAACTATGAGTTCCACATGACCAATACAAGTTCCAGTAGCCTAGACATACCATATTGGATGTATATAGTGAGTCATAAACTCAAATGAAGGGAAATATAGGAATTTAGCAATATTAGCAAAGTAGGATGCTATTTCGGGTAAACGGGGACACAACTTGAATATATGAGAGATACATAATTCAAAGGTCTTAACACACCATTTTAAGTATATATAGGTGGTATATGAGCCTAGTTATAGAGAAAAGTAAGAAATTAGTAAAAACACTATGGTCTCTATTTAATACAAATTTACAGTTATGGTCCATATTGCATATAAATTTACAGTTTTTGTCGCTATTTTATATAAATTTACAGTATTGGTCACATAACCTGAGTTTATACAGTTATGGTCTCTATTTAATCCAAAATTGCAGTTATGGTCCATATTTCTTAAAAGTATACAGTTATGGGCCCTACTTAATATAAAATAACAGTTCTGGTCCCTATTTTAGAAAAATATAAATTCAAATGATTCTGTTACATAAGTAGCATCATAATATGCTTATTGTCTTGTGTGTATTAGATTTGTAACATGTGTATAATATGCGTATTGTACTATAGAGGTAAAATGGTTCAAAAATGCTCAAGTCAAGGTTAGTTAAGGTGTCGAAGTACAATAAGTTTGACCAAAGTAGCCAAAATGGGTATTAGTAAACATACCTTTACATTGATAGCAGAGTACAATGCTATAATGAGTAAAAGTGAACAAAACCGGAAAGTACAATAGATACTGAATTATAAAATATTAGTAAACATACCTTCACATTGATACCGCCAAATTCTTCTGAGTGCTTCCGTAGATATTCCTCTAAACTTTTAACATCTTTCCTCTGGAAGACGTCCCAAAGAGCACCACCTTTTTCTCCTTTTGATTTCTTATGTTTTTTCTTACACTTATTAGCAATTTGCTTTTTCTTTAACATATTGATTTGTGACTGCTGACGCCTACTAATTGGCACTTCCTTGTTGTGTGTCAATATATTCACCTGAACATTTAAACTCGATCAAAATTTATACTCATTGTATAAATTACTAATTCAGGATTGAATTAATACCGCATGTGTCATATCACGATGAAGGCATGTCACAGAATCGCCTATTCCAAGTTCTTGAGCCATTCCAGATGCAATATATGTTTTCGGACCCAAATCATGTTTTATAACATTTGGTGGTAACTTCGTAGTAAGATTCAGAAAACCCACTCTTGGATCACTGTATATACCGAACGGCAATGCTCTGATGAAGGCCTCACCATGTTCTGGCATAATCTCTTCAAAATTATGATTTGGAGGAAAGTTTGCTAATTTGAGCATCTTTGGCAATTCACTCGTTTGGTCTCCTTCATTGTAAACTTTGAAAAAATCTTTAGTATCAATCATGCCCTGCATATTATGGTCGATTATTATGCAAATGACAAGGAAACAACCATCAAACTATGAATTTGAACATTAAAGAACATAATTACCTTATTCCCTTCCCAAAAATCAATAATCTCGAGTTTTGAAATATCTGGTTCCTGAAGTTGACATAATGTATCTGAGATATCCTCCGGATCCCAACTTATGTCATGTGTATGATCTAGAACATCCTTTATGACTACTGGTTCACCATCAGTCAAACGCTTACGGAAGAAGTTAAGGTCATCTTTCGTCAATGTGATGTCAGAATGACTAGATTCCTCGGATGAAGAAATGATAAAGTCATCTTTCGTCAATTTGTTCATTACAAAATCTGCCTGTGATTTCAATTTTGGGATCCAAGTGTTTTCAAAGACATGCCTGAGTTCCATTGGTGATTCTTCACCTTTGCAGTGACAAACTAATCCCCCATTGCTATCAGCTACTAGTTTGGGACCACCAGGTGAGGAACCAGATTGGCTAGTTGAAGTATTGGGCATCCGTAGTTCTCGACAACAGGCAATACAGATTTCAGATTTGCATTCTAAACAGCATCGGTGAAGATCAACGATTGATGTTGAGCAGACGTTACTGTTCCAAATATATGGAAATATAATAAGCATATATAAATTGACATTCTTTACAGCATTAATATGATTAACACTTCTTAATACTCTTGATTTACAAGTGTATATATTAAAACTGGAAACATTTTTAAGCAAACATACTAACAAGTGTAAAGCATGTTAACACTGCAAAGCACATTAACATAGGATGTAGTTAGCGTAGAAAGCTACTAATAAGAAAACTACCAAGACATGCATTCAGCAAGGTCATACTTAGTAGTTAGTACACAGAATATTAATATGCTTTACGTTGTAAAGCATGTTATTGTAAAGCATGAAAACATAGTACAGCATATTAACCAAAAGAACGTCAATTTGATTAATAAGACCACCATTAAATCAGAACACAACTGAATCGAAATGAAACCTTAATTTGATTAAGCTACAAACATAAAAACCCTAAACATGAAAATCGAGAGCAAAATGGTCGTCTTATATATTGTTTAAATCCAAAGGTCGTACGTGCTTCCGTGTCTATCTCGTCCTCTTGTTCTTTATGCATTTCATTTAGAAATGGGAGTAGTAAACTGATTAGATAGTGAAGATTCTTCAACTTCTCATCATAAACACCATTATATCCTGTGTTTGTCATCTTAAAATGCTGCTCATCATCAACATCATGATTCTCCTTTCCAGTGGTTGGTTCTTCATTTTCCTTTTCATTTGTTTTCCCTTTTTTGGGTGACATCTGGTTTACCTTTCTGCCATGATCCTCTGTCACGAGCAGTTTAATAAGAATATCTGAATTGTCAAGTCCATAACATTGATTTGTCTCATAATGCAAAAATGGTTGATAATGGAAACTAGAAATGGCCTATTCAATGGGATTTCAAGTGATGGTGCGCACTAGTGTTTGGTATGTTTTCTCAAAACATACCAAGACAATAATGATGGCTGGCACTCCATATGAAATGCACTAGCTTACAAAGATTCTCATGAACATCTGTTCTTCCATTTGGTAATTATTCACAGAGAAATATTGAGGAAAGCACTGAAGAATGATGATCTTAATCATGACTGGCACCCAAAGTTCACCTTTTGGGTTAAAAAAAAGTGTATCATCAACTTACTGTTTTCAATATCAACGTGGAACTAATTATCTTCATCTGTTACAGAGGAACTCATTCTATCTAACACGGGCAACTTGAGGTTTTCTTTTGCTGTTAATATTCTAACAGCAAGATCGTATCTCTCTTCGGCTGAGTGTCACTGCAATATCAAATGGACGTGTTATAACTAGTATCCAATTTCAGTGTATGCTAATTCTATAACCCTTATTAACCAATCGTAAATACATATACTATGTAGCAATGCTTTTTATGCAACAGAAACTTAAAAGCCAAATATCAATGTGTGGTTTTGACCTAACCTCATATGCCTTGTTAGAGGCTTGATGCGGATACTCCATGAAATGGCAAAATAAAAACTCCACAATCGTCACCATTATCCTGTTGCCGCACATCCTCCAAAGAGGTATTGAAGTTCACACATGAGTCTTTATCCAATTCAAGAATTTCCTGTAGTCCGACAGCCTACACGGCGATAAGGTATGTAATGACTAACATTAAAGGGGAAAGTCCAACCAAAAGCCGAAAGATGACTTCGTCTTTCCTTGTTTTTTTAGATGAATCCCACTCTTCCAGCTTCTCTGTCTTCATGTTCACCACAACTAGCTTAAAGTGTACACCATTACACACGGGAACAAAGATCTATTAACAAGAAAAAACACATTTAGAATCAACTATTGCATGATATCACCACATTTCACAAAATACCTGCTCTACGTTTCTTAATTTCAAACTCAATGGATCAGTTTCCTTTGAGTGTACCCAAACTTTAGACTCTTCCTTGATATTTTCCTTAAAATCCGCTTTTCTAGTCTATTTCTGCACACATAAAAAAGTAAATTTAATAAGCCACATATAATTATTGCCTTTTTCAAAAGTGTTTGACCAAATATAAAACAAACCTCGAAATAAGTCGGAAAATACCAACACTTTGGATTTTGTGACGATTCACATGCTCGAGTACACAAATATTGTGAAACATAATTTATGATCCCTTCATCAAGCCATGAAGTAAGATTCAGTTGTTCCATCATTGTTCTCTTGTCGATAGCCGCTCCACTAGATAGTTGAGCTACCCAATCATCTATTTTGTTCTCTTTCTGATAGACCCATTGAATAATCCTCTTTTCTCTGCCATCTATGGCCTTCGTACTGCTGATTCTGAAAGGACCAATAGAAACTGTGGTTTCTGCATCCTTTAACGACAACAAAGCTTTTGCTGTAGACTCT